GGTGACGCTGGGAACGCTAGATCGATATCTATCCTTTCCCCGGCACTGCCGCTGGCGTACGCTGGAAAGCGCTAGCTACGCTGCCGCAAAGTATAAACGCAGCCTAACTGTTATCACGTCGGTAGAAATCACAGTCCGGAGCAATTATGCGAACTAGAGATTGAGGTTTCTGTTATGGCAGGATGTAATGTTGTTCAATGACTGACTGTTCTTGGCTATACGCTCGGAGTACTAACAAATAACTGCACGGCGCTAAGAACGCATTTGAATCGTTTGTGTGAAGGTGCGTGCAACCCTACAGTAAATGAAGTTGCATAAAGTACCGTTGAAAAAAGAGACCACTCTAATCCCAAGTATTAGGTTGCCGCGAAAGTTCGTGAAACTTTTTTGAATCTCCAACCACGTCTTTCCGCAGCTGTTCCGAGATCCAGTTATGTGGTGAGAAGCTGTCAGGTGAGCATCCCACGGTTGCTTTACCGTCCTTTTGCAGTCGCTGTTTTCATATCCAAAACGGTGAACGAAATTCATATTCATTTTCACCATACTTCGCTATATGAGATTGTTCCAAGTCACAACCTGGTCGAAGCCACACTCGACATTTGCTCTGACTTAGGTCCTGTTGCTACGTTCCATAGTACGGTTCGAAATGGCCCGGTCGCTTTGGCTCAAGTGGCTTCTACCTGGGGACGAACCTCGTCCAGGGAGGCTACCTGCCTTGGATTTCTACCTGCTGCGTCCTTGATTCAAACCAATTGATACAAATCAGCTCACTATCTAGTCTTACAACTGACTGTTCCGAATGCATGAATGACAGAGGTCCTAGCTCCTTCAAGAAAGTATTGAAGTTCGATTAAAAAATTCCTGATGAGTTGACCGATACTCAAGGGGAAGGGCATGTGGGTTTTGTCGACAGATTCTCTGCCGCCGCACAGACTGGTTGAACAACGACTGTGAACGGAATAGGAGTGAACCGTTTACCGCGGGGAGTCCCTTACTCTCAACGCTGTTGTAATTAGCGAGTCCTCCTTTAAAGGCAGTTGGCATGATAACTTCCCCAAGACGAGTGGGATTAATACGCCTGGCACTCCGCGACTCTGAGCAGGCCTGCATAGCGCCTTTTCCAAGAAGGTGCCCTTATAAGGGCCCTATGAAGCTACAACATTACGACCCGAACGCCCGCCACGCCCGCCCGCCCACAAATGGACGACCGTTCCTGACGCTCGTACTGCTTCATTTGCTAAGCAAATTATGAAGCGAAGGGATTGGTATGAAGCGGCCGTGATGCTGCATGGATATACAGGGGGGGGGGGCAAAAAAAGTCACTTCGACCGAGTCACATATCAGCAAAGTTTTCGCTGCCCAGACAGAGGACGTGGATACGAGTACCAGGGCGGAAGATACCCAAGATGTTCCTCTATAAGCAGGAGCTGGCTCTCGCCCATCACCTTCATGTACACCAAAATATGAAGTCATCTCCAGTCGCAGCCTGACTGGAGAAGACCTTTGGAATTCATGTCCAAACAGCTGCGAAACTTCTAGTATGGAGTCACCCATGGATAGCTACCTGGAGACCAGTACTCTCGATCTGGAATGACATCGAGCAGCTCCGACAACGTCGCCACGGTCTAGGACATCATCTTCACCGCAGTCGCCAAGGCGCGGGTTGATGGACCGGACGTACCTGGAATGGAAAGACCAATATTTTCTTCGTGGACCCCGGACTGAAGGTGAGCGCTGGCGGTTACATTGAGCAACTCGTGAAGAATATCCTCCTCACATGTGGTCGCCCGTACCTTCTTGGAAACTTTGTACTGCTACAGCATTGAGTGCCACCACATGAAATCGAAGGGCGTTGGAGAAACACTCGCCTACTTGGAAGGGGGCTGAGTAAACCACTCGGCCTACCTTGGAATGCAAGGGGCCTGAGTACTAAAGAAGGTGCATATTCAGTAAGGCTTCACCTAACCTGAATCCCCTCAATAATTATCCGGTTCGGGCGGAGTTCAATAGGGTGGTCTACGGTGCCGGAGAAATCCGACTAACTCGCTGATCTCAGGCACCACATAGCGGTCGCGTGCCAGTATCTCTCAATGGCGTCCAGAAGGCCTGTGGCGAAGTGTCATGATAGCATTTGATATGCTCTTTAATATGGTGGTAAAAATGTCCGATCAGAATTCAATAAAGTGTAACTTATAGCGCCTCGAAAGTCAATGAAGAAAAGTGACTTTTTTTTCGTCCCTCCCCCCCCCCCCTCGTACGAGTCACATAATGCAGCCGTACCTTCGGTAGCGGTTATCGGCAAGATGCCTATGGGAAACTCGTCCAAACTCGAAATACAAGTCACCGAGAACGGAGGCTAGGATTTTGACCGTTTCACTCCGTTCTTTCACCATTCCCCACTATATAGCGCCCTACTGGCATTTTAGGCCGAGCACCAAATCATCGTGCCAACTGCCTTCAATTATCTGCAAAGTTGGGTAGAAAATCCCCATCCTAGGTCCTCAGATGTGACAGGCATGAAAGGCGTGGAGGCGACATCGCTATCATTGCCAAGAAGATCTTTTTTTCCCTAGGGTAGTATTCAGTGAATCGTTTGCCGATGCATATGAAATTATGTGCGTCAACCTTGACGGCGTCATCTAACGTTAGGTTGGTCCTTGTTTATAGAACACCGTCATGTTCTGCTGCGGTGTTTGAACAACTGCTTAAAGCGATTGGCGATTTAGCAGGCATCAACCACTCTGTCGTCCTACTTGATGATTTTTACACCTTCCTGTGCATTAAGGGTTGTAGCATCAGGCGAATAGCGCACGTGCTTCACGCTTCACATAATTGTGTAGAGGTCTCAATTTCGATCAGCTCGTTTCGGAGCCTAGTCATGGACCCAATATTTTAAATCTCATTCTGACTAACAATTCACAACCCATAAGTAATACGGTGATCCAAACACCAATTTATAATAGTGACCATGCATCTGTCGCTTTTGACATCAACATTTGGCCGGGAACAAAAATAGCAGAAATGTTTGTTCGGACTTCAGGTATGTAAATTTTGAAACAACAAGTACCTCTGTACTGTAGACTGGTATGGATCCATTCGAAGCGTTGATTCACTTCAATGAGAAATATGAGTTGTTTTAAGCTATAATTCATCATACCATCGAATTGTTTGTTCCACTCAAGCCTCAAAAGACTAATGGAGTACAGCTTCCACTTCACTTGATCAGATGTAATCGCAAAAAGAATTCAGCTTGGGCTAAGGCTGTGTCGAGTGATAATCAAGCGCATTGGGACGAATACAATAAATTGAGAACTACTTTTGGGAAAAAGTTGAGCAAGTTCCATAATCATGTTGAAAGAAAAGTTATCTTTTCCAAGAATAAGAACGCTTTCTATAGGCTACTCAATTCAAGGCTGCGGAAAACTAAAGGATTAGGGGTTCTTCTCAGGGAGGATGGGATTGCAGTATGCAAAGATAGACAAAGCCGAGATTCTGGCCAACGTCTTCGCGAGGTCCTTCCAGAAATAGGATGTTTCTTTGGAGCTAGGTGCCGCACCATCATTTCCGGTAGTGCGGGATTCACTTTGGTTCGACAAGGAAGAAATATGTAAGTTACTGATTCGATGGCCCAAATCCCGTTCGATCCTAATAGGATGTTCTTTGGAGCTAGGTGCCGCACCGTCATTTCCGGTAATGCGGGATTCACTTTGGTTCGAAAAGGAAGAAATATGTAAGTTACTGATTCGAAGGCCCAGATCCCGTTCGGATACACCTGATCATGTCCCACTGGTAATAAAAAGGTAGCGCACATATTATGTGGGCCACTTGCCTTCCTCTTCAACTTGAGTTTTATGAGAGCTGAAGTGCCAACGAGGTGGCGCGTTTCATTCGTAACCCCAGTCCCTAAGAAGCCGCCTTATTCCTGTCAGGCTAACTTCAGCCGGTCAGTATAACCTAAATATTCGCCAGATTGTTTGAGAAAGTTCTTAAAAAGAGACGCATGGCACATTTGGAGCAGTATGAAATAATTTCCGAAAACCAGCACGGCTTCCAGAAGGGGCAATCAACGGTACAACGGGCATGCTCCAGGCTCTGAATGATTGGACAACGTATCCTGATAATGACAGTAGACGTGATTTATTTGGACTTCGCGAAGGCGTTTGACAGTGTGGTCTCACCTATTAAACTCTAATTAACTTCAAAACTAGTTAGAGTTTATCCCGAGACATTGTTTAAGTGGATAAAATCTTCTCTTATGATCAGAGTTTATCTAATGCGCGTTAATGCGGAGTTTTTAGAACCTAGGCCAGTGCTCAGTGGCGTGCTGCAAGGGGCGTTCTGTCTCCACTTCTTTTCAATATATTTACATTTTGAATTACCTTGTCTCATAGTCCCTAGAGAATTCAAGTGAGTTGCTTTCGCTGATGACCTCAGAATATATCACCCTATCTCATTATACTCGAACAAAGTGCTGTTGCAAGCGGTCATCAATGAGGTTAGCATTTCGGCGAAGCAATGGGGATTACCTCTATCTACTGAGAAACCAAGGGTGCTACCCATGGGGAAGTTGTTAGCTCGTCCTCGTATTCGATTTAAGGGGTATGTCTAGATGAGGTTAAAGAAATTAGGGATCGTTATCGGAGCGACCTAATTTTTGATGCGCACTGTTCTCAAATCGTAGCTAAAACCACTGTGGTTTTACATAACATGTTCAGATCACTCCCTACCAGGGATTCCCTCGTTTCATGAAATAACAGAAAAAGTATTCAAATGCTCTGGAAAGATGTGCAAAATAACTTACTCCCCCAGAAAGGTTTTCGTTCGAGCGGTGGGATACAAGTACGAACAAATACCTGCCAGTGTGGTGAGGAACACTAATCTCAATATGGAGACCCTAGCTTTCAGAAGGAAAAAGTTTGACCTCACAAGATTCTTCATCTACGCACTGGTACTAGATATTAGGTATTCTTTTACCTAACACTCTTTTTGCGGTCAGAGATTCAATTACCAGAGGTGGCGCTAGAAAGCTGATCACTCGTAGAACTAAGAGTAATATCAGGCATCACTTCTTTGTTAATAGGACTGCCCCAGAGTTTAACAGACTGGTACGCTTGGGAGTGACCACGAGCAAACTAAGCGCTTTCAAGGCTGCTTTAGACAAACATCTCACATCATAATACCTTTGCAAGCACAGTTCGTTTCATTTGTATTCACTGTTTTTTTCTGGGATTCATGGCTGTTTTATACCAGTTTTGTTTGCACGCACTCGAATTTTGATAGTGGTTTTATTCATACGCATCAAGTTCTAGTAGCGCTGTTTTTGCTGTTTATTTGGTTTTGGTTTTTGTGTTGCCATTTTTTTTCCTTACTTACACCACACAGGATTACCTGTGTAATAAACAACTACAACTACAAAATTACAATGTCCCACAACCCAGGAAAGTTTGCCTACTCCACCACAGCTCAGGGTCATACATTTTGAAAATGACACTACTCGAAAACTTGAAGCTTAGGTGATGGATTCTTCTACAGTCTTCCTGTAGCCCTTACACAGCTCCTTGGGACTATCATCTCAACTAAGCCTACTACGGCGGGCTTCTGGGTGAAAAATACAGTTTCCAAAAGCACTTTAACCGGCTGCCTTTCTTGACACGGAACTAAAAAGCTTCTGGAAGCAAGGCAACCACTCTTTGCTTGGTGGTTGGCAACAAGTTGCCGATGAAGGCAGTGTACAAGGGGGGAAGCAAAAAGTCACTTCGGCCAGTCACATATCAGCAAAGTTTTCGCAGCCCAGACAGAAGACGTGGATACGAGTACCAGGGCGGAAGATACCCAAGATGTTCCTCGATAAGCAGGAGCAGGCTCTCGCCCATCACCTTCATGTACACCAATATGAAGTCATCTCCAATCGCAGCCTGACTGGAGAAGGCCTGGAATTCACGTCACCTCCAAACAGCTGCGAAACTTCTTGTATGGAGTCACCCATGGACAGCTACCTGGAGACCAGTACTCTCAATCTGGAAGACCTCCAACATCGAGCAGCTCCGACAACGTCGCTACGGTCCAGGATATCATCTTCACCGCAGTCGCCAAGGCGCGGGTTGATGGTATGGACCGGAAGTTCCTGGAATGGGAAGACCGATATTTTCTTCGTGGACCCCGGACTGAAAGTGAACGCTGACGGTTACATCGACCAACTCGAGGAGAATATTCTGAATATGTCGTCGCCCGTACCATCTTGGAAACCTCGTACTGGTAAACGATTTAAGCCACCACATGAAATCAAAAAGCGTTGGAAACATTCTCGCCTACTTGGTATGGAAGGGCGTTAAGTACCTGAAGTGTACGTAATATCCAAGTTCGATTACCAGGTTCGAGCGGAGCTCAAAAGGGTGGTCTACAGTGGCGGAGAAATCAACGACCTTGCTGAACTCAGGCACCGAATCACGGTCGCGTGGCAGAATCTCTCGATGGCGCTCGTCCAGAAGGTTCTGGCGGAGTATCGTACAATGTGCTGTTGAATATGATGGTAGAAATGTCCAATCAGAATTCAATAAAGTGTAACTTATAGCGCCTCGAAAGTCAAGGAAGAAAAGTGTCTTTTTTTTGCCCCTCCCCCCTGTATTACTGTTGGTCAAAATTGCCGCCCACTGTAACAAGCTAGACTCGAAGGAAAAGTTCGGAAATGTCACGAATTTTTGGGACAACCTAATACAATCATGCGAAGAGGAGAGATGCGCGTACGGATGAGAGAGAGCAGACAAACAGGGCGCAGAGAGCACTATACTTATTGTTAGTAACATTCACGTTTGTTCACGGTCACATATTGTAAGTACGGATATGATTGATGGTGAGCATGATTTTCCGCTTCTTCGGCATATATTATTAGGTTGTTCGGAAAGGAATGCGCGTTTGAGTGTAAAAAAATTTTTATTATAAAAACGAAATTAAACAAGGTCAATCTAAAAGATAATCTCCATTACTAGCAATGACTTGTTGCCAACTGTACG